AGCCTCCGGAGTAGCTGAGACCACAGGCATGCGCCACCACACCCGGCTAATTTTTTCTATTTTTAGTAGAGGTGGGGTCTTGCTGTTGCTCAGGTTGGTCTTGAGCTGAGCTCAAGCAGTCCTCCTGCCTCAGCCTCCCAGAGGGCTAGGATTACAGGCTTGAGCTACCACACCCATCCAGAGTTTACATTAGCAGTCAGGGATTCTAGAAAAGCTTGTGTGAGAGTCACTGCCATGCTGTGCATAAAAGGAGCTTGCCACATAATCTCTGAAGTTTAGTTTCATCCCAAATTTACAAAGGTGACTTGCTCGATGCTTTGTTTGCTTGAGTATACAGCTCCTTTGCTAAGTGATTTCCATCTTTCCATCGCGTGTTTTGCACATAAAGGATACAAAAGCAGTGTTGACCTTTCTTAAGTTTAAAATATACTTAGAAATGAAAATGGGATAGTATAAATAAAGTGCTGGAGTTTCAAATGAGTAAGAAGGCTACAGCAGAGGTTTTACTGACATAAAACTCGGTTCTACTTAATCTGAATGGGTTATTTAAATAAGTTGGATCTGTGGTCTCTCACCAGCCTAGATATTATCCAACCGAAGATGTGCCTCGAAAGCTGTTGAGCCACGGCAAAAAACCCTTTAGCCAACACGTGAGAAGACTGCGAGCCAGCATCACTCCCGGAACCATCCTCATCATCCTCACTGGACGCCACAGAGGCAAGGTGAGCCGAGTGCCTTGGGCCGGGGACCTTTGCTGCAGCCGCCTACAGCACTTGCTGATAGTGTGTCTGCACTCTGGGTGCACGATTCCTCTATTGACCTATGTTCTGCAGTGGGAGGGATGAGTTCTGGGGACCCATAACATACAAAAAACAACCTAGTCACTAACTGTACATGGTTTTTCCTGCTCCCCCCTCCCCACTTAGTGTAAACATTTTTCACTTGTTGCAGATAATAAGTTTAATGCATAATAATTTTTTAACCATTTCCTGCTATTGGTTATATTATTTGTTACAAATGATACATGTCTATTTGCTCAAAAACATGCTTAGAGTTGAGTTACTTCCTTAGGAACTTGGTGTGGTTGCTTCCAGGACTCCTGGGCAATACACATGTAGAAGTTGCGTTTACCAAATCCAGGTGCCTGTGATTTGATTGATTCAGGAGTCAGTGTTTAATTGCAGAAAACTAATTCTTTTCTGTTTAACTTGCAGAGGGTGGTTTTCCTGAAGCAACTGGGCAGTGGCTTGTTACTTGTGACTGGTAAGAAAATTCTTGGATTATGTTCTCTGAAACTTCCATTTGTGAATGCTTGCAGTGTACATATATGCCACCACCTGCAAGGACATTTCTTAATGCCATGAGATTCTGACCCCCAGTTCATTTCATTGTGTACATGTGAGTTAAACAGAGGCAGATATTTAAATTTTATGTAGCAACACATCAAGTAACTGTCACCTAAATTACGGGATTCATCCTGCATAAAACTTGTAGTTGGTCTGTCACTTGGCATTAAGA